CAACTATCAATCCGTTGATCGACCTGGGTTTGAGCAATATTAAGTCTGTGCAAAGAACTTCCCAGTTTACCCTCCGAGATCTCACCCAGTCACCCACGGAACTGTGTTCCACGGTTACACTTCACCTGATCTAGCATTAGCACCTCCAATGCTATGTTAACGCACATAATGCTAAGCACCCTACCTTGTTAGATTATGTTTCCTTTTCCACACCCTCCATATTTCCCGTTTGCCTTCGGAACCCATACCAGATGGCCAACACCCTACCCTATACCATGGTTATCGTTACTGTACTCCGATTAAAGCTTCTAGTCTCTGAAACACTAGTCCTTACCTCTTGCTCTGTTGAGTAATCGTTAAAATATGGGCCTAGTGCTTCTGGACTACAAAACACCTATTCCTTGCCCATGTCATCGATATCTTACCCATTCCCTCAAAGATTTCTGGACCCTGCCTGTTGCTAGGACACTAGCTCAATCTCCTGCTCCGTTGAGCGATTTGATTGGGTAGTGCTCCAAAACACAAAAGCACCTCCTGGATCTCCTAAAGGAATATACTATTCTGATTTAGCAACCCCTTTCGGAATACCGACTATTCCTACCACTGACTTCTCAGCTAGCTTCGTTCTACTCCACTACTCCCCCCACTTCCCACGATCTCTGAGAGTTCTCTGGAGTATTTTACGGAGCTTGACAGTCACTTCCGGACCTCTTCAATAAATCAAAATAAAAATAATAACAAATCAATCAACTAGCCTTCGATTTTCCCCAACCCTGGTCATTCGGATACCCATTGATCAGAGTTGTGATCCTTCCTTCCAAGACCCTCCTAGTCTTAGGAACCAGGTACCATTCCCACATGAAGGATGAATGCTGGGATGTCCACCCTAAGAAGGGGATACGCCTGCTGTTTGCTCATTAAGGATTTCCCATACCAGTTCCACTGAGACTCACTCTGCTCTCGTCGTCCCATAAGATTCCCACCCCTTTCCGAGGACTCCGGGAATAGACTTCGGACCCACACAAACATCACACCACTCCTAGTAAAGGACCCTCTGAACTAGGCTTTCTTCATTTCGGAGATTGCTGGGTTACAGAGGAACTCCTTACTACCATTCCTTCGGATACTTTGAGAGGTCTTCCAGACCCTTCCTAGTATCACCACCCCGGAATTCCCGGAACCACTGGTTATACACCAACCCCACTTGGTATCCCTGAATCCTCCATGTTTCCCACTTTCCCTACTGCTACCCTCAAGGCTCATTTCCCAGCCTCTTAAGGATCTTCTGGACACCAGTTGTTCATATTGGCATTCATGATCGCTTCCAAGGTCTTATGCTAGAGGTTCCGTTGACTACAGTCCCCACTCTTCTCTAATTTTTACCACTCAGAACCAGTTAGGGACACCTCCCACCTTAGTACCCTATTCATAGGTCACACTCAGGTTGTGTCATATCCATACAATCCTGACCTCCACTCCGGGCTCCCGGAACTCCGAAACTGACTCCGGAGCCCTACTTCCCTTCCGTCACCTTCTCCTTGCTGACTCCCAAGAGGTTATCCCACCTCCGGCTCCAACACCACCTTCGGTCCGACTCTGGAACATTCCAGGTCCGACCTCAACCTCGACACCTCCCAGACAAGCATGCAACACCTATGCTCCCGACTCCGGACCTCCACTCTGGAATCCCATTTGCATCTCTGTCTCCGGAACCTCCGGTCTTAGCTCCGACCTCAGACTTTGACCCCACCTCCACTTATACCCATTGTATTGGTTAGCTCATTCCATTTAATTGCCTTTGCCAATATTCCGGAGTTTAACTTCCGAGTTCGGACTTTCCGGACTTATGTCGGACCTTGCAACTATTGCATTGTCCTATTCAATTCCGCTATTCTCCCTCATTCCTATTTGGGCTGCTGCTTCCTTCCTATTCAGTCAGCTAGCCATTCCCCACTCCCAACCTCCTTCCTTCCTCCTTGGGCCTTGGCCCTTCACTCCTCCTTTGGGAAACACCATTGAGTCAAACCCTTGACCCTCGGTGTTGTTCCTCCTTCCAGCTCCCTTTGTCTCCTTTCGGAGTACCCTTGCTCCTTTTGATTCCGGACCCCTCCTTATATACAATGTACATAGTAACTTGTAACCTCAGTCCGAAATTGACTTGATTTCCCCCCAAGAGACTTCCCCTCTGCTAGATCCGAAATTAGGGACCCCTAGGACAACCAGCAATGGCACAGCGCTCTGCATGAGTTGCTGAGGCCAAGGTCCTTCCATGCTAAGTCTCCAATTCCACTCCAGAGTCGTCTGAATCCACTTGATCTAACAGGTTGCATGGTACAAAAGGGGGGGATGTCATTTGTTAAATCAAAAAAAAGAAAAGAGAGGGATGAACGATGTACAACGGAGTAGTTAAGATTTTATGGATGAAGCATCGGCAGTACTGGGCGAACCATTGGCCACATCGAAACGATCACAAGAAGTACAGTCCACCTCGTCCTCCAGCTCCTCATCCCCAATCTCCTTCTCAGGCACCATAGCCTGCCTCCCACCCTCTTCAGGCTCATCCCCCATAACCGCCTTGTTGACAGCTGAGTTGCTGGACTCCCTCCTCGACCCACTGGCCAAGGCACTGCTCATCAGGGTGTTCATGAACCCGGAGTTGCTCGCTGATCGCAGCAAGCCACCCCATGCCATCCCTCATCAGAGTCATCCACTGACGGATAGCCTCCATCTGCAGTGACTCCTCCTCCACCTCCTTCTCCACCCTCACTCGTTTCTCAGGGCGATAGGTCAATGTGACCTCGGCGTGTTGTGGTACCCGTTCACATCGTACCTTGGCATCATGACAGGCCATGCACGACGACTTGCCCAGCCCCTCTGTCAAAAACCCGTTCTGTTATGGAAGAGGGGGTAAATGCGTGAGTCCGAATGCAGGCGGGGCTCAACTAGAGGGGGGTCCGAGGGCTCCAGTAGTGAACCGAAGCTTCTCAGGGAGCCCGGTTCTGCTGGATGGTACAAGAGGCTCTAAGAAGGACGCGGCCTCAGCGACTCGGAGGGAGCGCTGTGCCTCCGTTACGTCTCCGTTAGTCCTTGTATTTCTTATGTCTGAGGTGTCTTGTAGAACAGGGACAGGATTCACTCAGAGGGACTTTGGGTGGCATTTTTAGTCGAGATTAGAACTGAGGAACTACAGGTTCTAATCTACATGTATTTATTGAAGGAGGATGGGGAGGACTTTAGTCAAAGCCCGAAATGACAAAATGGGGAAAACACCGAAAGATACCGAATGATACCGAGAGGTACCGAAAGGGTCCGAATGATATCTAAAACGGGGAACCGAGGTGTCGGGCCAAGGAGGGCGGAGTTGGAGGCCGGAAAATGAATGGGGAAGACAAATGGATAAAGGGGGTTAGCCGACTGAATGGTAGTAAGAAGGTAGTCGTGCTAAGAATGGGAGATGACTAATAAGTGATAACGTGAGGGAGATCACCGAAGGATGCGGGTAGCTCCAAAAGCGGAGTTGCGTATCCGAAGGATGTTGGGTGACTCAAATAAATGAAATGGGTGGAGGAAGGGTTTAAGGGCATGTCACGGGATGTCGGAGGTCCGTCAGGATATCGGAGCAAATCCGGGATCTCCGAATGTTCCGACTCGGGACCGAGGTTCCGGGATGGGAGTGGCCAAGGTTCGGTGTGCCGCAACCAGACCGGAGCTGAGACAGTCAGGAGGGAAGGTGACTTGGAGAGTGGGGAGGCAAGGTGTAGGGGATGGTGAAGTTGTTAGGAAGGTGTGATGTGGTGGGAGTGCGCAGGGTCGGGATTCCGGGATATGACACCCTCCTTGCCTGGTAAGCACTCAATTTGGCACTTGAGGCACCGTGCACATGTAGGGGGCTGTAAGGGGTTGGTGTAGGTTCCAACCCCAGTTCTCCTCAATCCTCAGGTTGTCAATAAAGTTGAGCTGTATGGAGCTTTAATTATCAATGATGGGGAGGAAAAGGAGTTCTTGTCAGAGACCGGGTCGAGATGAATGAGTGTCTCCATGACGGAGGGCTTCGGCCTCAGTGACTTATGCCAGGAGCGCTGTGCCTAGTAAACACGTCCGTGCCCTAACTTACTAACTGGCCACCAGAACTGAAGAGGGTAAACTCTAGTCGATTTTATTACTGGAGTGTAACCTATGTACAAGTGTAGTATATATAGTTACAGCGAGGGCGGGTCCGCAAATGGCAGAGCCGAGTGGAGCGGAGCTAATGGGGTTTAGACATTAGCCGATTGAATATTACCGACGAGTCGGGTTACGGGGTTATGTCAGGGGACAGACCCCGGGTCCCCATGACCCCTCTCTCCATAGCCCACAGCCCTGTGTGTAAACAGCCTATCCTAAGGCATAACCTACTGTGGGTAAGAAAGTGAGAAGAAGGTTAACTTCTCACTTTCCCACAGTGGCCCCAATATGGCAAAAACTTCCGGGGATACCCGGAAGTCACATGAAGGGTAGGAACCGGGCCTGGAGCATGCGGCACGCGGAGCGTGCAGGGCAGAGGTGCACATGCAGGTCCAGGTGCGGGTCCGGGCTAGTCAGGGTGTGTGCCCTGACAGGTTAGCGGAAAGGCAGGCAATAACCCAGAAACGGAAAGGAGGGATAGGCCCGAAGGTGAGCTTGCAGGGCAAGCAAGTGTATTGCCCAGCGGAGGCAGGAGTGTGCTAGCGGACGTCGGAGCTGTCCGGAAGCCTTTGGGGCTCCGTACTTAGGGAGGCGTAGGTAATAAATTGAAAGGAGGGGGTGGTGACCATCGAGGGGTACCGAGGGGATTGTGGAATACGGGAGCTCTGAGGTTAGTGAGGAAGGAGCGGAAGTGGATTGGAGGGATCGGAGGGATCGGAAGTCGATGGCCAGGGATGGATATGACAGTTCTCTTCCTTTTCCCAAATTCCCACATTATTGTATATACATTGTTTATACATGTTTATTATGAGACACATATAGAATGAAGATATGAATTAAGGGGTGGGGTTACCACTCCTTACATCACTGGTCAATGGAGTCGACATTGCAACAGATTTACGCTAATCAAAAAAAAAAAATCGGTCAGAATTTTTCCACCAAATGGATGACAGACTGCCATCACTACCCACCTTCCTTGCTGCTGCCTCCTCTTTCCTCCTCTTTTTCAATGCTTCAGCAGCCCTTTTGGCCTCCTCAGCCTCCTCCTGTTCCCGTTCCTCAGCAGCCTTCATGGCTGCTCGATGACAACAATGCTCCATCAACTTGGTGACTGCCATATGATCATCGTCCCCCGAATTGTCCTCCAGACAAGTGTCTGACCAGTCTGAGACTTGGCTGTAGTTTGACATGATGTTGTGGTTGTAAAAAGGCTGCAACCTGTTTTCTGGCGCATTTTAATGTGGGAGTCAAGAAAAATAGACTCGGATTTCTCCGGGTTTTAGCCAGATCTGGCCACATGTCCTTCAAGGGTTCAGTCCTAAGAAGGGGATACTGTCATATCCCAGAATCCTGACCCTGCACTCTCCCATCACATCACACCTTCTAACAATTTCATCATCCCCTACACCATAACTCCCCACTCCCCAAGTCACCTTCCTCCTTTACCGTCTTAGCTCCGGCCTGGTTGTGGCACACCTTACCTTGGCCACTCCCATCCCGGAAGCTCGGTCCTGGGTCGGAACATCCGGAGATTCCGGATTTGCTCCGACCTCCTGACGGTTCTCCAACATCCCATGACTTACCTCTAAACCTTTCCCCCTCCCATTTCATTTATTGGAGTCACCCAACATTCCTCAGATACGTAACTCTGCCTTCAGAGCTACCTGCATCCTCCAGTGATCCCACTCACGTCATCACTGATTAGTCACCTTCTATTTATGGTACAACTGTGTCTTCTTTTCATTCAGTCAGCTAACCTCCTCTTGCCCATTTCTCGTTCCCATTCATCCTCCGGCCTCTTACTCTGCCCTTCTCAACCCGACACCTCGGTTTCCCGTTAAGGATATCGTTCAGGACCTTTCGGCACCTTTCAGTGTTTTCCATTATCATTTGGACTTTGACTAAAGTCCTTCCCATTCCTCCATGTATAAATACTTGTAGATTAGAACCTGTAGTTTTCCCAGTTAATCTCGACTAAAATGTTACCCCAAGTCCCTCTGAGTGAATCCTGACCCCTTTCTACAAGATACCTCAGACACATGAAATACAAGGACTAACTGAGATGTAATGGGGGCACAGCGCTCCCTCTGAATCGCTGAAGCTGCATCCTTCTTAGAGCCTCTTGTACCACCCAACAGAACTGGGCTTCCTGGAGAAGCTTCAGTCCACTACCGGAGCTCTTGGATCCCCTCTAGTTGAGCCCCACCTGCATTCGGACTCACTGTCATATCCATCCCCAGCCATCGACTTCCGGTCCCTCCGATCCCTCTGGTCTAACTCCGCTCCTTCCTCACTAACCTCGGAGCTCCCATATTCCGCAATCCTCTTGGTACCGCTCGATGGTCACCACCCCCTCATTTCAATTTATTACCAACGCCTCCCTAAGTACGGAGCCCCAAAGACTTCCGGACAGCTCCGACGTCCGCTAGCGCACTCCCACCTCCGCTGGGCAATACACTCGCCTGCCCTGCAGAGCCCACCATTCAGGCCCATCCCTCCTTTCCGTTTCTGGGTTATCGCCTGCCTTTCCGCTAACCCCGCGACCCGACTCGTTGGTAACATTCAGTCGGCTAATGTTTAACCCCGTTAGTTCCGCTCCATTCGGCTCCGCCATTTGCGGACCCATCTTCGCTGTAACCATATATATATCCAACTTGTACATAGGTTACACTCCAGTAATAAAATCAACTAGAGTTACCCCCCCTTCGGTTCTGATTGCCAGTCAGTAAGTTAGGGCACGGATGTGTCACTAGGCACAGCGCTCTTGGCATAAGTCGCTGAGGCCAAAGCCCTCCGCTATGGAGACTCTCCCTCGTCTCGAATCTGGTCTCTGACAGTATTTTATTACTCCCTGACTAGTACACGTCTTGTATGGCACCAAAAGTCCTTCGCACTCGTTCACAACTACACACATTAGTTCCCAACTCCGCTTCACCTTCCCCAGAACCCTCTCAGCCTGGCCCTAGTCGATTGGCGAGAAACCCAGTTGAGTTTCGAAGCTTTTCTAACCTTGAAACCCCTCTCCCATCGACTCTGATCATGTGCCCCGTTAGGAATCGATCACCAGTTGCAGACTCCGACTTCGGAGACACCACGGAACAACCCATAGATCCCATCCACTTCTTTGGACTCGGTTCCGAGGTCCCCGACTTCGTCGATCCTCCTCCTGCTGATCCTCCCATCCCCACTGTCCCAACCACCGACGATGCTGAACCCACCTCCAACGTGGCTATTGCACAATTGGCCCAAGCCATTGCCAGTCTGGCTCGTCACACTGGACGACGACAACAACAACAACGACCATCTTCTGCTCTCCGGACCAAGGTCCGCGAACCCAAACAGTTTGATGGGAAAGATCCCCGAGAACTCCGAGTATTCTTGGTCCAATGCGAGCTCAATTTCCAGGACCGTCCCCTCGCTTTTGCTAGCGACCGCGCTAAAGTCATATTTGCGCAGTCCTACCTCAAGGGAATGGCCCTCAATTGGTTCGAGCCGGATCTGTTATTCGACCAGAATTCCACGCTTCGTCCGCGATGGATGAATGACTATCAAGAGTTCGTTAATGAACTTCAAACTAACTTCGGCCCTCACAATCCTGTGGGCGACGCCGAGGTTCAACTGATGACCCTGGGCATGAAGGACAGGCACCACATCAATAAATACGTCGTCGAGTTCAATCGACACGCCTCTCAACTTCACGGTTACGGAGAAGCCGCGCTTCATCGTTTCTTCTACAACAGATTGCCGGAACATATCAAGGATGATATTGCCAGAGTAGGTAAACCCTCTGCTCTCTCTAAACTTCGCACCCTGTCCCAAACTCTCGATGCGCGCTATTGGGAGCGTAAATCGGAAGTTACACATCATGTGAAACCCTCTTCCTCTAACGTTTTCGACAAGTCCACTGCCGCTTCTCGTTCCGACCCCATCCCTTCCTCCTCCTCTTTCAACTCCGCTTCCGGTAGTAGGCCTCCGAAGGACAATAAGAAGTCCGAGGCCAGCTCCGTTAAACCGGACCTCTCGTCTAAACTCGGAGACAACGGCAAGCTCATGCCACAAGAGCATAAGCGTCGTCTCGACGAGAAACTTTGTATGTTCTGCGGTCAGTCTGGCCACATGGTCAAGGACTGTCCCAAGTCTTCTTCTCGCATGTCTAAGGCCCGTTCGGCCCAGACCGAGGAGCAAGGATCCGCTTCTGCAGAAGCAAAAAATTAGTCCGCACCCCCGTGGACTCCGCACAGACCGGGGGTTGCGATCCTTCCTTCTGTGCACTCAAAGAAGTGCATTTAAACACGTCTTCCATTTCCGACTTATCCTCCCTCCACATTCCCGTTTCCTTTTCTCTTTCAAATGGTCTATTTTCTCCTCTCAATGTTGACCCTTCGGTTAATGTTCTACCCATTGTAGATAGTGTTGCTGATGTACCACTCTCTCCTCCACCCCCTCCGACTACTTCCGTAGATCGATCCACCTCTCTCCGCTTCTCTTCTTTCTCTCCTCCTGTTTCTCCCCCATCCAATATTAGGACACAAAATAAACATTTCCGCTCCTATGAGAACGTACCCGCACTCGTAGATTCTGGGTCTTCGGACTGCTTCATTGACGACACATTCGTAAAAAAGTTGGCCTTGAAGACATACCAGATTAAACCCCTACAACTACACCTATTCGATGGTAGCACCAACTCAATCATAACCCGCGCCGTTGATATTCCCCTCCGCTTCGCTTCCGGAAACATCACCCCCACGACTTTCTTTGTCACATCGCTGGATGGATCATGTTCCCTAGTCCTAGGACACAACTGGCTTACCTGCTACAATCCGTTGATTGACTGGGTCTCAAGCAGTATTACGTTCCAAACTTCCGAACCTACCAAGACAGTTACTCCGAGCTCTCCCCCATCGTCTCCGGCACCACTGCCGTTGTCCGACATCCAACCATCTGATGTTTCACCAGCACCTCAGTCACAGGCTGTTACTCCTCCGTTACCATCTATCGAGTTCGTCAGCCGTTCCGCATTCGCAAAGGCTTGCCGACTTGAAGGATCGGTATCCTTCAGCCTAACCATCCCTTCCGAGGAAAGCCGCTTGAGGGCTGCCTCATCCCACTGTCATATCCGTGCATACCCAACCCCGACCCGACTTCCGGACCTCCACCCTCTTCACCTCCGGAGTCATAACCTACCGCTGCCATTCCGATACTCACCTTCGGTCCTGGCAACACACCTCCTCCTTACCTCTCCAACCCTATCTCTGTCCGCTCCAATACTCACCTCGGACCGAACACCACCCCTCTCGCCACCCTCCTACTACTCCTCCTTCTCCTACTCCGCTCCCCCTTCACAACACCTCCACCCTCCCGTCATCCTCCTACGCTTTCCCCATCCGCTCCGATACTCACCTTCGGACCTGACAACCCTCCTTTCCGCCACTCCTTCCCCCTTACCTTTCTCCTTTCTCCTCCCTCTGGTACTCCTCCGCCACCCTTCCGCCAAGTTACGACCTTCCGCCGCTGTCCCGTACTTCCTACTCGGACACCGCTCGTACCTTCGCTCCGAGCCTCCATCATAGTCCCGACCTCGGACTTTGACTCCACCTCGGTCTTAGTCCATTGCACTGGTGACCTCATACTATGTAAACACCATTGCCAATATCCCTCGGACTTTCAACCCCGCCTCCGTAACCTCCGTAAGCTCCGCAACCCCTGAGCTTCACGGATCGCCTTCGGCACTTTCGCCGCCTGTAATGTATCTCTCGCGTTTACCCCTCATCCCTATTTGGACTACTGCTTCTTCCCATTCTAGCCAGTTAGTCATCACCCCCACTTCTCCTCATCCTCCTGCCCCTCTGGGCCTTGCCCTCCCTACCTCCTTTCGGACGTATCATAGGTCCTGCCTTATGACCTTCGGTACCGCTCCGCTCCTTCTTCCCTTTGTCCCCGTTCGGATGTCTTCGTTCCGATTCGGTTCCCCTTTGTTTCCTTGTGCTTTTGCCCCCTCCATTATATATATCGGCGCTTGTACATACTTGTTTTGGTTCAGTCCGAAATCGACCTGAAATGCCCCCTAGAGACTTCCTGCTCACCTACTGTGAAATTAAGGACCAAATGGACAAACAGCAATGGCACAGCGCTCTGCTTGAGTCGCTGAGGCCAAGGTCCCTCCACGCTAAGTCTCCAATTCCACTCCGGA